TATCCTATCATTAAAAATATTTATGAAAAATGCTTCATGACTTGAAATAATATTTCCATTCTAATGCTGAGGGAAGATGAGGGGGACAGGATACGAAATTGTATATATATTACAATTGCTACTTAATTATGCAAAAAATAAGCTCAGCCCAGGCCAAGTAACTAGCTCACTTGGTTGGAGCATCGCCCTAATATGCCAAGGTTGCAGGTTCAATCCCTGGTCAGGGCACATTAAAAAATCAACCAATGATTGCATAAATAAGTGAACAACAAATCAATGTTTCTGTTTCTCTGTTACATTCTCAAAAAAAAATCATGAAATAAAAAGGTTTTGAAAATATACAAAACCATGGACATTTGGTTAGAGAACCGTCCCAATTACATCAAGGTTGCGAGTCAAAGCACATACAAAAATCAACCAATGGCCAAAACCGGTTTGGCTCAGTGGATAGAGCGTCGGCCTGAGGACTGAAAGGTCCCAGGTTCGATTCCGGTCAAGGGCATGTACCTTGGTTGCGGGCACATCCCCAGTAGGGGGTGTGCAAGAGGCAGCTGATCAATGATTCTCTCTCATTGATCTTTCCAACTATCTATCCCTCCCTCTTCCTCTCTGTAAAAAATCAATAAAATATATATTTTTTAAAAATCAACCAATGAATGTGTAAATAGTGCAATAACAAATTGATGGTTTTCTCTCTCTCTCTCCCTAAAATCAATAAACAAAAATTTAAAAGAAATATATTTGTCAAAGAAATAAGCTCAGATATAAATGGAAGGACATATTCTCAAAAAGAAACAATGGCTATTTCCAGGTGGTGAGATCAAGGATGGATATTATATATATATGGAGAGAGAGTGAGTGTGTGTGTTTTCCATAATGAACATGCATTGTCCTACTAAAAAAGTCAATTTTTTCTTTTCATCAACCTATACCAAGATCTTTTTAAAAAAATATATTTTTATTTATTTCAGAGATGAAGGAAGAGGGAGAGACAGAAACATGACTGATGAGAGAGAATCATTGATTGGCTGCCTCCTGCATACCCCCTCCTGGGGACCAAACCCGCAACCTGGGCATGTGCCCTTGACCAGAATGGAACCTGGGACCCTTCAGTCTGCAGTCTGACACTCTATCCACTGAACCAAACCAGCTAGGGCTATCCCAAGATCTTTAAGCAGTTGGTAAAAAAACAGTTAAAAAGTACCTACTCTAACTTCAAGTAGTTCCTTTCCTTGGGATAATACCCTTTGAACATCAAACAATACAGTTAGCACATACCAAAAAGGATGCTCATCTTCAACTCTGAAAACTGAATTAAAATGAGTATTTTCCATTTTGGTCAATGTTTACTATCTAATTGCTTGTAAGATTATTTTATAAGTAGAGAAATGGGTCTAATTATTTACAGGCTAAAAACTCAGAAATGACTTTGCTGAAAGTTTGACTTTGGAGAAAGAACAGCTGTTGCTAATCCAACTATTTACCCTTTGACCCTCTCTCTGGCCAATGACTGAACAGTATCAATTGTTTTCCTATTATGTGCTGTTTACAATCCCTGAGAGGCATGAAAGGAATTAATAATTTAGCCTAGAAAGCTAACAGCCTTTATTGGGGAGCCCCTTGTCTGTGGGGCAGAAATCAGAGTAAGTAGCGGTCCTTAAGTCACAGATCCCTTTACTATTCCTGTTTTATAACCTAATTGGCCCCCAAACATAAATCAATTATTTCTCCTGTTTTAAGCAACAATGACTTCTATTCTCTAACTTCCCTGTATCAAGTCAGTCCTTGTTCTCTTGGGTTTTACAACTACACAGTAAACACGATGGCTGAGGGAAAAACGGGGAGCAGGGCAGACTGGGGTTATTTGGAAACAGAAGCACAGAAAGGTTATGCTGTTTTGAACTTCTCTTGACCTTTGACTGCCCTTGTCCCTAGCTTATGCTAATAAGGCAGGGTACAGAGATGCTTCTTGTAGAAATGAACTTAGCCTGAACCTGTGCCCTAACATTGGACTCCAGGAAGCCCAAGAATCATAGGAAGGCGGTCAGAGTGTGGACAGCTGCCCATATTCTAAACATGGCTACCTATCTGTTCTATTACAAGAAAAGGTGTTTTTAAAAGAGGCCATTTGAATTGGACAAAGTAATTCATTCCTTCTTCATCTAGTTCCAACACATCCCACCTGTTGTCCCCAAAAGTGACTGTCTACCACCACCGCCTGACACAATGGGAAATCAGCAACAATGGTACTTTCTCATTCAAAATAAGCAAGTTTGAGCAGGTTTTCTCTATTAGGAATTGGGAGGATTGGGGAAGCCATTGGGACTTCTAAATGGTCAAGATGCATCAAAAGAAATCCCTATTGTTCTCAATCTTATGTGCGAAAGTCATGAAGTATTAACATAGGAGATGTCATACTTCCCAGTCAGAAGCCAAGGAATTTGCAATATCAACAACAACCAATTTAACACAACACTACAGACCATTTTAGTCTTGAGATTCCCCATCGCTCAGTAGGGCTGACCATGCTCATTTGAATTCCAAGATTGGTTCAATAAAAATAATAAAATTTTATTTTTGTCCATTTATTATAATATCAGACTTGCATGTATTTCTTCCAAGAGAAAGAACAAAACACTAACTTCACAAAAATATTATGAGCATTATTGAAAATATAACTAGTAAACACATAAACTAAGCACAACTCAAAAGAAAAGTGATCTTTTCTTCCATTGTGTACTGACATATAAAAGTAGAGGCCCAATGCACCAAATTCATGCAAGGGGTTCGGCCCTCGCAGCCCTGGCAGCCCCGGCTTCATACAGAAGGTTGTCTGGAAGGTTATTCGGCTGTCCGGTCTAACTGCATATTATGCTTTTATTATTATAGGTGATAAAATATTTATTCTCATGGAATGGAAAGGTCTATAAGTCATATATCTAGCTAGAAAGTCTATGCAGAAATGTTAAATGAATTAGAATTAGTTGGCCCAGAAAGAAGAATCATCCAGTAATAATCTTATAAAATAACAAGAGTCTTTCCTAGAAGATGGGCATGATTTGTTTTCAATTATTACTAAGTGCAGAAAAGGAGAATAAGTTTAGGTACTATGTGCTAAATTAGAGGTTTAAATATGTTTTTTTCCAATAATTCGAGATAAGAAAAGATTTTCCAATAAACAGTTAATACATGAGGGCAGGACCTACACTTGTGTATCCCTAGAGCACAGAAATGGGCCTAGAGCAGAGAAACACTCAATATCTGAGTCTTCAATTAACTGACATATTTTATGCATATGTATAGTTCTGCCTGAAATATTACAAGGCATCTTAATATCCTTTCTAGTGTTCAAAAATGATTTTAAGAAAGAAGCATAACTCAAGAATTTACCTTTTCCTCCACCTAAATAAAGGCTATTCATAAGAGGACAAAGAGAAATTGGCACGTTCACTGATAGTACTGGAATTTCAGGTGGCAGAGGAGGGTAAACTGAGTCTATACTACCTACAAAACTGATTCCGAACTTTCCAGCTTCTAGAAAAACAAGTCTATTTCCGTTGTGTTTAATAAGCTTTGTGGGATTTATTTTGTCCTGCCATTAATAAGTATTAGTTGAACAAACATAAATGTTTATACTATTAAGGTGTGTATGGGGGGCGAGGGTGGAATGTGAGAAGGTCCACAACATCAGAGAAATGACGTTAGTTAGCCAGGATGGTAAGAGGGCGAACTGCACCACTTACCCCAACAGCAGATTGGTAACAAATAACCAGTCCCATGACCCTACAATGTAACAGAACTAGAAAAATAACTCCAGATCATGCATGGATTCTCAATCTAAATTATCATCAGACTTTTGGACTTTTATAGCAAAAAAAGGTTTATATACACTGCATATTCCCATATCCTATTTCTAATAGATATAACAATATCTGAGAATGACAAATACCACATTTTTAAAAATATTTTTTTTTATTAATTTCAGAGAGGAAGGAGAAGAAGAGAGAGATAGAAAATCAATGATGAGAGAGAATCATTGATCACCTGCCTCCTGCATGCCGCACACTGGGAATCAAGCCCTCAAACCAGGAATGTGCTCTGACCGGAAATCGGACCATGACCTCATAGGTTGATGCTCAACCATTGAGCCACGCCGGCTGGGCAAATGCCACATTTTGAGAGCACTTGAAACACAAGTGATTATCTATGATCAAGACTTATTAATAGATAGTCCTGCCCTGGCCAGTGTGGATCAATTGGTTGAGCATCATCCCATGCACCAAGAGGTTGCTGGTTTAATTCCTGGTCAAGGGCACATATCAGGGTTTTGGGCTTAGATCCCTGGTAGGGTACGTGTAGGAGGCAGCCAATTTATGTTGTGTTCTCACAACCATGTTTCTCTCTCTTTTTCCCTCTCCTTTCCTCTCTTTCTAATAATCAACTATTTTTTTAAAAAAAGACTTACATAGTCCTGAAAAGCATCATTTAATTAGACCAAGAAATAATTACTCTCATATAATCCCCTTAAGAATGTAGATGAAGGTGCTTCAGAAATTAAACTCTGGCATAAAATTTATCAATTTTAAATATCTAAACCAAGCATAATCCTTTTGAAAAAAAATTATGTCAAAATGAATCAATACTTTAGAAGAGTGGTTGTGGGTATATGGTTGTATGTGTACATAAATGAAAGTACAATTATTGTTACTGGTTTCATAGGACGATGGATGGATAGGAAAAGGGAGTTTAGAAGTAAATAGATATTTCAAGCAAACCAATGTTCTAAAAATGGGCTCAATCCTGGCCACTGAATATGATCAGAAAAAGAAAAAGACAGCATAAGTAGGAAAGATACAATGCCCTCCCCATAATTATAAATTAAAGAGAAAATAAAATATGAGTCAATAAAGGCCTACCCATGACATCTGAAGTTATACACTTAAAAGTACAAATACACATCCTTTTTTTGTCACAAACACTGGGGAACATTCAGAACTTACTAGTGCCTGGGTCGAGCTCTGCCAAGTCATCCTGACAAAAACCTAAAGAGAAAAAAACAAGAAAAAAATTTTATGATTTGTGATTTACTCCAAGGTGACACCAAATATAAAAATGCAAATATCATATAGTATTTTTTTAAATCCAGATTCAGAAGTCAAATTTGGATTTAAATTCTAGTTCTAGCGAAGAAACCAAGATGGTGGCATAGGTAAACACCTGAATTTGCTGCCTCCCACAACCACTTCAAAACTACAATTAAAAGACAAAACTGATGTCATCAGAACCACAGGAAAGGTGGCTGAATGGAAATTCTACAACTAGAAGGAAAGAGAAAAGCACACTGAGACTCAAAGGAGCTGCAGAAGTAAAGTGCAGAGGTATGGAGGCAGGCATCTAAGTACGCAGCTGTTTTTTTCAATCCAGAAGGAGATACAAGCTTCCGACTGCTCTGAACTCCAGTTCTGGGCAAGACTCTGGGGACCCAGATTCATAAGGGGAGAAATTGGACTGTCTGGCAGCAGCTAGAACTCGAGGGCGGCTTTCTCTCAGAGGTGCTTGCAGCGATTACCAAGGGACACTGAGACCAGGGGGCCTCTGAGGGCAGGGCTGACAGGAAGCCATTGTTGTTTGCTCCGCCCTGAGATCTGGCCCCTCCCAAGCTGTGTGCAGACTTTTGCATATGTATGGCCTGGTCCTTTGAAATCTAAACCTACCTATCAAACTGCAGCTGAGTCAGAGAGACGCAGAACATCCAAAAGAAGGCCCAAAGCCCCACACCATCCCCCCTTCTTATGTTAATGGCATCCTGATTTTTCTTTGGAGACTTATTCCTTTAACACTTTCAGTCCATATGACCCAAGAAGGATGGACCCTAACTTAATAAATAGGGATTAAACCCTAACCAGTTTGGCTCAGTAGATAGTGCATCGGCCTGCAGACTCAAGGGTCCCAGGTTCAATTCCAGACAAGGGCATGTTCCTTGGTTGTGGACACATACCCAGTGGAGAGTGTGCAGGAGGCAGCTGATTGATGTTTCTAACTCTCTATTCCTCTCCCTTCCTTTCTGCAAAACACACACACACACACACACACACACAAAAAAAAAAAAAAAAAAAACACACAATAAAACATATTTAATAAATAAGTAGGGATTAACAACAGCATCTACTGTTGTAGATGAGATAGTGAATGTAAAGGCTTTGCACAATATTTGACAAAGTCAGAGCTCAACGTATGTGAGCTATTACTAATCTCTAGGAATAACCCAATCAGGTGCTATGCCTGTGGTAGCAAAGAGCACATTATAGGAGGGTAACTATTTTTTTTTAATTGAACAGAAGTGACTTTAAATATATTTTATTGATTTTTTACAGAGAGGAAGAAAGAGGGATAGAATGTTAGAAACATCGATGAGAGAGAGTCATCGATCAGCTGCCTCTTGCACACCCCCTACTGGGGATATGCCCGAAACCAAGGTACATGCCCTTGACCAGAATCGAACCCGGGACCCTTCAGTCCGTAGACTGATGCTCTATCCACTGAGCCAAACCAGTTTTGGCAGGAGGGTAACTATTGACTTATTCATGTCATCCTCAAGTATCTGGGATGAAACATCACCAATATCACTTTAGTATATACTATAATTTTTTATTTACTTGAGAGGAGGGGGAGAAGAAAGAGACTTTAATTTGTTGTTCCACCAACTTATGCATTCATTGGTGCTTCTTTTATGTGCCCTGATCAGGGATGAAACCTGCAAACTGGACATATCGGGACAACACTCTAACCAGCTGTACTACCCGGCCATGGCCATCCTGTGATTCTTGGATCCTTTTTATATGCTGAGACTGTAAATTACTTGATGCCATGATCCCAGGTGTATGCTACCTCCTGAGGAAAGGAGGACTCTTTATATATGCCTTAAGACAAATTCCTTTCATAGTTGCAAAGAGCACCGATTATGGAATTCAATAAGTATGTCTAAAATCGACCCACCAGCCCTGAGACCATTGGCTAATAATGCTGTGTCTGGTTTTTCAGATCACCGCCAGAACAGGAGGCCTGAGAAGATATGGAGAACAATGCTAACCCTAGCTCCTGATAACATGGAATGGCTAGCCCTGGTGACCATCCATCCTCAGGATCTCACCCAGATTCTCAGGAAACAGATCTAGCTAGCAAAATGATTCCTAACTAAAAGAATGCAAATCACTGCTAGAAGTAACCCCAGTGTGTGTTCAATTCAACACAAAGGCAAAGATTATCAGAGTTGTTCAGTAAAAAGCAGACTCCTAAGCCACATAAATATACAAACATACTCACAAAACCATCTGCCTTACAGATTATAACACATTAAACAGATTAGGAAACGTTCTGAAAAATCCAGGGTCTTTAGCTGGTGACTTAAATTACTTTAAAATGGGATAGAAAAGAAACAGATATATCACCAAGTCAGCATGCTCATAAGTCACCTAAAATCTAGTGCAAAATTTATATTCACTTACACATTTTTTCTTTTCACTTACTTCATTTAAACTTATAAGACAGATGCTTGGTGAAAAGGACATTGGTCTGAGTTAAGAGTTGGATTCAAATCCCAGATTTGCCACTATCTTTGTTTAATTAACTACCTTATGCCTAGTTCCTGAAATGGGGCAAAAATAACCATCTTGTTCAATGTACATTTGGAAAATATACATAAATCACCTACTTTGTGGAAAGTGATCGAGATAAGTCTAGGAAATTTCTTTAACTCAAAGATAGATCTAGTTGACAAGTTTTTCTCCAATAGGTATTTGGCAAAAAGAAAAAGATCAGTGACTCCTCAATCTGTGAATGGCTACAATGATAGGTTAAAAAGTTACTTCTCTTTTTCTTTATTTACTAGTTTGACTTTAAAAGTATGTATTTACATAAAAGAATTTTAAAATTTAAGTGCCCATCTTTTTTCACAAATGTGAACAAATTTTATAAGTAATGCCAGTAAACAAATTCAAGCCTGAAACTAGCTAATTGTAATCTATAATGTGTCTTTTACAAAAATAGTTAAATATTACTCTAGGAATGTTTTAATTTAATTTGACCGTAGGAAGGCAGCGTGGTTTAATAAAGACCTGGATCCTGGTCAGGGCTGGACAACCCACTCAGTCTATTTTGAAGCCTCAGGAGCCCAAAGGCAAAATTAAGGTGAGGCCCTTAAAAGGTAAAATTCTACAACTGTAAGAAAAAATCGTATACTTCCGCCAAACAGAAATTATACACACAAATATCCTTCATGATCCGCCACTTTAATTTTATCTCTTGCTTCTCATCCTACCTTTCCCTACAGTGTATACTCCATCCATCCTGGACCATAGGCATATATTGTTTTATTGCACTTTGCTTTACTGAGCTTCAGAGAGGTTGTCTTTTTTAGAAATTGAAGGCAAGCCACCCCCGCACCCCCCCCCCACACACACACACACCAGCAAAAAGATTATAACTCGTTTTATTGTGATACTCGCTTTATTGTGGTGCTCTGGAACCAAACCAGCAATATTTCCAAGATATGCCTGTACAATGAGCTCCCTGAATTCAACATATAATTTAGCCCCCATTCATTTGCACATACTATTTTCTCCCCCTGAGCCAACTCTCATTCACCATCCTGATGTAAGGGTCACCCTCCCCCACCCTCTCCCACACACACACAAGTCCAAGTTAGGCACTACAGATACAATAACTGAAGCTACTGGCTTTTCAGGAACCTTTGAAAAAGAGGAGAGAAAAACCGATTTTAAAATCCAAGAAAAATAAAACAGACCTGCAAATGTGAAATTAAAATGTTTTAATTAAATATTTATGACATATAATATTATTTAAATATGAGGTATATTATTTCACCCAGTCAACTATAATTCAGGTTTTATATACTGTAATTTTAAATGTGAGATATAAAATGAAGCAGAGGTTCCAGAAGAAAGTCAAGGGTCTAAAAGGATTTTGAAACTGCTCTGGTTAATCAGCCGTCCCTACACAATGCTCCCACAGTTCCCTGAGCTTCCCATAACACATCATGATCAGGGCCACTAATTGTGAAAGGTTCTAGAGAAAGTTGTTTTCCATAATACCCAACACAAAGCTAAAAATCTTCAGCCAGGATTTGTACTAATATACAACAGTCATTCGCCGGTCCTTTCTTGACCAACCAGCTCTGGTCATTTGTATCAGTTTCCCATTTGCTTTGTCTCCCCTAATTATGATAGGTCTCCAATGAAATTCCGTATTCTTTTTTCAGTCAGGTCTGGTCTCAGCCTTATCTATATATACAGTCCCAGGACTGAAACATGACCCAGGATCCCAGGATAAATTGCTCAATAAATGTTGAGAAACTACATCTTTCTCCAGAAAGAAATAGTACTACACCACTATGAATTTCTTGCAAAAATATCAAGTTCTAAGAGAAAATAACAATTTACTATTCTCTGCCTTTAAAATCTAGAAAAAGCGATATCCAATAGAAATTCCTATAATGGAAATGTTCTTTGTCCAATATGGTAGCCTCTAGACACATGTGGATACTGAGCACTTGGAATGTGCATGCTGTGACTGAGGAATTGAATTTTGTAAAAAGTATTTTTACTGATTTCTGGCGAGAGGAAAGGAGAGGGAGATAGATATGAGAGCAAAACATCAATCAGCTGCCTTGTGCACGCCCCCTATGGGGGAGATAGAGCCCACAACAAGGATAAGAATCCAACCTGCGACTTTTCAGTACACAGAAGGATGGACAACCAACTGAGCAACACTGGCAAGGATGAGACGTTGAATTTTTAACTTTATTTAATTTTAATTAAGGTAGCCACATAAGGCCAGGGGTCATTACAAAGGACAAGGTAAAACTAGAAAGAAGTCTTCCATTCTGCTAAATTTGTTATGCCACCTTTTGGACTCCATAGCAGTTTTAAAGAAAATGAACTATGGAAATACTATGCTAGTGTTATTTATTACCCCATTTATAAGTGTATCAGTTGTTAACAGAAAAATATTTCCATCAGCTTGC